CAGGAGACTCGCTTGAGCCCAGGAGTTGGAGGTTGCTGTGAGCTGTGATGCCACAGCACTCTACCCAGGGGGACAGCTTGAGGCTCTGTCTCAAAAAGAAAAAAAGAAAGAAATAAAAACTATGTGATGACTTTAGTGTCTAGTAGTAAAGGAATAATTAAGTAAATTATATACATCCACTCATTTGTATTATGAGATATAAGAGATGTTTATGAAGAGTTTGTAATAACATAAAAATGTTTATGCTAAATATTAAGTGCGAAAAATATCAAACATCATACAGTATGATCCCAATGATGTCAAATAACAGTATATATAGGTAAAAGATCAGAAAGAAGGCCAGGCTTAGTGGCTCATGCCTATAATCACCGCACTTGGGAGCCAGAAGCACATGGATTGCCTGAGCTCACAGGTTTGAGGTCAGCCTGTAGCAGAGCAAGACCTCATCTCTAAAAATAGCCGGATGTTGTGGCAGGTGCCTATAGTCCCAGCTACTTGGGAGGCTGAGGCAAGACAATCATTTAAGCCCAGGAATTTGAGGTGGCTGTGAGCTATGATGCCATGGTACTCTACAAAGGGTTTTCTGTCCAGAAACTTGCACAATTACAAGATTAGTAACTCATAATTCATAACTCTACAACAACAAAAAAAATTAGAAAGATATATAATCAAAATGTCGACAGTTTATCTGTGAGCAATTATGCTCTCTTTCTGTTTGCTTATGTATATATATTTTACAAATGAACATAAAATTTTATAAAAGGGTCCAAGTGCAAGGGCTCACACCTGTAATCTTAGCACTCTGGAAGGCCGAGGTGAGTAGATTGCTTGAGCTCATGAGTTCAAGACCAGCCTGAGCAAGAGCTAGACCCCTTCCCTAAAAATAGGTAGGTGTTGGGGTGGGCGCCTGTAGTCCAAGCTATTGGGAGGCTGAGGCAAGAGAATCCCTTGAGCCCAAGAGTTTGAGGTTGCTGTGAGCTATGATGCCACAGCACTCTACCCAGGGTGACATATTCTTTTTTTTTTTTAACCTCTGTCTTTAAAAAAAAAAAAAAAAAAATATATATATATATATATATAGACTATGTATATTGACCATGCCAATGAAATATATTTTAAGAAGGGGAAAAACTGCATTAAAATTGTAATACTCAATATATACTGATAATAAAAGATGAATACAAGTCATGTTGAGCACTTCTTGTAACTGCAAAAGTTAAATGTGATTTGAGTATTACAAATTTAATAAGGTTTTTTCCTTTCTTAAAATGTTTATACATTTTTTGGGCATCTTCTGTGCATAAATACCTTATTTATTGCAAATAATGCCTAGCAGTGTAGATATAGCTCCTTTGCAAGATTATATTCGGGGACCTGGAAATGAAAACTTGCACTACTGCCTAGTACTGGAGACTACTGAGACTTTGCGAAGGTCTCTGCATATTTCTGCATGGATAGAGTTAATTTTAAATTATAAGGGGGCAGTTTGTTGAAGCACTTTTGGAGTCTTAGATATAAAATTTTTACTTGTTTCATGAGTTTCTTCTTTACATATTTCTTTCCTCAGAAAAAATCTCGCAAGAAGATGTGTATCCTGGTGCTTGTCCTGTCAGTGATTATTACAATCTTGGGACTTATTATCTGGCTAGTTTATAAAACGAAGTGATTGCCTCAGACCCTTCTCCACTGAGCTGTTTTCAAGGGCAAGTGCTTGTTGGAGTCTTGCCAGAACAAACTGATCACAAGAAGAAAGCATACACCAGAATGTCCTGTAATAATTTAGTTAGAAACTAACTACTAACTAGTCCTTGGAATTAGTGACCTATGGAGACAGTATTTATCAATTTATTGATTTTATTGATTCTTCAAATTAGGAATTAACTTACATGGATTTGCTTTCTCTTGTCTTCTGATGGCCCTTCATCCCAAGCGTTTACTGAAAATTCCATTCTAGATATTCTTGCTTTGACAGGTGACACTACAGTCTTGTAATGTTGTCTTTTATGTGTATACAAAATGTATCTTTTTACTTGCAACTGAAATAGAATTACTTTCTGACACCCAGAAGATTGGAGTCTGTCAGAAACTGTATAATAGGCCAGCAATTTTTATTATTTAACATTTTAATTTAGATTTCTAGGAAGCCTATTCTCTGTTCAGATTTTGGCTCTATATTTAATCCAGTAAAAAACTGCACATGTGATTCAGAATAAATGAGAAATATCTATTTGAGCTGGGTGGGTATATGTTACTAATCTAGGTTTAAAGTTGACTTCATTATCTGCTAGTGCCATCCACAGCAATCCACCCTCATGCACACTAAGCCACCTTGTCCACTTTTTAAAGAGGTTAATTTAATTAATATTACTATGTTCTATGGGGTTGCTCTCCCACCTGTCTGCATAGAAAGGGAGAATTAGACGTAGCATGCTTTTGAAAAGCAAATAGAATTGTTTGGAATGATTTACTCTTTTTGTTGTTGTTGTTCCATTGTGGTTCTACATTCCTGGTGAATGATGAATATTGCTGTCAAAAGACTGCCCCCTACCCTAGAAGGGTTTCTGGGCATTTGATGGCAGGAAGATTTTTAAAAGATTAGACTGAAGTTGGTTTAAAATTTAATCCTGTGAACCGGTGATAAATCAAAGAAAAGGTTCGTTTATTGTAAATAATACTGGTTTGGAATAGTGATGTTAGACTTACCCTAATTTATGAACAAGAAATTAATCTCTCCATGCATAGTTTTAGACTTAAAAAAAAGTTTCAATAAAATTGGTGTCTTGTAATAGAAATGTTGTCCACTTCCCTTGTTCACAGGCCTAGAACAGTTAAAGGGAACGTAATTTGTTTAGACTCTCATGTAAATGTGAATTGGGCCAACTTTGGTTCATCCTTAAGTGAATTAGAGGATTCGGCTATCCTGGGTGTATTTATATTCATTTATTCCATTCTCCGTAATGTTGCTTAATTTTCTAAACTAAACTGATGTGAACAGTAGGGAAATAAGGGCCCAAATGCATAAGTTTCTTTGCACCCTTGCATTTAATACAAATAAACATTTTTAAAGCTTTTGTAGTAAAAGATTTTTGAGTTAACATCCTAATGCGGTAGGTATTAGGTAATGTGCTGTCATGAGAATAATTGAGACTTCAAGAAGACTGGAGACCAGGCGAGGGTTGGTTTAGGGGTGGAATAGTTGTTTCTTCCTTTTCTTGCAAAACAAGATAGAGCTGTTGGGGTGGTATAGCAGCCCAAACAACATCTTCAGAGATAATTCCTTGGTTCTTTGATCATTGCCCTCTGAGCTCCAAATTGTATTTGAACTTGGGTACATCATTTGTAACATTCCGGAAAGAAAAAAGTCTTAGTTGTGAAAACTATTTGCATTTAGGTAAAATAAAATGACCACAGTTTGCTCTATGCTAACAGAGAACAAATACGAATGTGGCCTAGAATTTGAACGTTCCCCAAGTTCTGTTAAGTGGTCCTAATAAACCTGTTCACAGACCCTTCTGGATCTGTGCTTGATTGTCATTTTAGGGGGACCATCATCTAAGACCATGGTTCTTAGCTGTGGCTTTAAATTAAAAACTTTTTAAAAATACTGATACCTTGATTCTCCCTATTCCAAGATTCTAATTTAATTAATCAGGAAAAATAGCTAGGGCCCAGGGCTTTTGAAAGGCCCTAGGTAATTTTTATGTGTTAACTATGGTTGAGAACCCTTTAAGTCAAAAACTTAACTGAGCTGCAAAAGTCCTGGAGAACCTTAGCTCTACCATTAACTTGCTGAGGGTATTTGGACAAATAATGTATAGGTTCTAAATTTTCTCAGTAGTGCTTCTCCAGCTACAAAATGTACTGATTATAAGGAGTATGGGGTTTAGTCTGAACATACAAATTACATATTTGCCTCTATATTCCTTTCCTTTTCCCATCCCCTTTTCTACTTCCTTTATGGACTATTCCATGAGAAATCTAGCATTCTCTCTTCAAGTGAATTAAAACCATATAGGCTGTATAAGGCTAAAAAAGTGTATAGGTTAAAGTAGAAATGTCATTCTGGCCACTTTATTTAGGAATGTTGCAGAATAAGAACTTGCTAGGTGATAGACTGATGCTCCCAGGGCATTTGTGTGTGTGTGTGTGTGTGTGTGTGTGTGTGTGTATCCACTAAGGGGTAGGGATGGGAGGGTTTGCCCCCTGCAATGCGCAGTCTCGCTCTCAAGCTAAACCTAACACTGCCTTGCACCACCTGGCAAAAAACATCAGCTTGAAATTACTATTCAGTCTATGTGAAGTAAAACACTCTGAGCCTCCTCCTGTCATTTCCTTCCTTTTCTTTTCTATTCAGGGACGGTTCTCAGCCATGGGAATGATGCAGCTTTTGCTTTTCGTCACTAAGTGCAAACCAGAACCCAACTCAGATCTCAATCCATTAGCTGGGGATCATCTGTTTCTTCTCAGCTTTTCCGAGCATTTTAGTGCATCCCTAGACTAAAAGGATTTTTCAGTATTGCTTTCTAGCATCCCCAAATATAACTACATTAGAATCTCCATTTGAAAGATTGTGATTCCCATCAGCTGATCCCACTTCTTCTAGACCAACTAGGTAGTTCATTTTAACACTTTGCAAAAATGAAATTTGGTTGACAATGTGACACTCAATTTTTAAAGAATAAACTTGCAAAACTACAATTTTTAATGTTGGACTGTGATTAAGGCTCAAGTTTTTACCAGTCCAATGAGAATAATTAGAACAATGAGAAAAACGGTGTTTTATTTAAAAGTTCTATCTGAGGCTGGGCTTAGTGGCTCATGCCTGTAATCCTAGCACTCTGGGAGGCCAAGGAAGATGGATGGCTTGAGCTTAGGTGTTCAAGACCAGCCTCAGCAAGAGCCAGACTCTATCTCTACCAAAAATAGAAAAAACTAGCCAGGCGTTGTGGCAGATGCCTGTAGTCCTAGCTATTCAAGAAACCTAGGCAAGAGGATCACTTGAGCTCAAGAGTTTGAGGTTGCTGTGAGCTATATGCCACAGCACTCTACCCAGGGTGACAGACTGAGACTCTGTCTCAAAAGTAAAAAAGTTCCATCTGAGTCTGAGATAACATTATTTCAACTTTGAATTATTTTATTTTTATTTTATTGATTTATTGATTTATTTTTTGAGACAGAGTCAAGCTGTTGCCCTGGGTAGAGTGCCATGACGTCACAGATCATAACAACTTCGAACTCTTGGGCTTAAGCGATCCTCTTACCTCAACCTCCCAAGTATCTGGGACTACAGGCACCCGCCACAGTGCCTGGCTATGTTTTGGTTATAGTTATTATTGTTGCTTGGCGGGCCTGGGCTGGATTTGAACCTGCCAGCTCCGGTATATGTGGCTGGCACCCTAGCTGCTTGAGCTATAGACGCTGAGCTGATTTTATTTTTTGAGACAGAGTCTCACTTTGTCACCCCTGGTAGAGTGCCCTGGCATCATAGCTCACAGCAACCTCAAACTCTTGGGCTCAAGTGATCCTTTTGCCTCAGCCGCCCAAGTAGCTGGGACTACAGGTGCCCACTACAACACCCGGCTGTTTTTTTTAGAGACAGGGTCTCACTCTGGCTCAGGCTGGTCTTGAACTCCTGAGCTCAGGCAATCTACCTGCCTTAGCCTCCCAATGTACTAGGATTATAGGTGTAAACCACCTCACTCGGCCTCTTTCAACTTTTTGAAAAAGAATATACATGTGTATATGTATGCATGTGTGTATATATATACATTTTATTTTATTTTGAGATAAGGTCTTAGTCTGTTGCTTGTGTTAGAGTGCAGTGCTGTCTTTATAGTTTATTGCAATCCTAAACTCCTGGGCTCAGGTAGTCTTCCTGCTTCAGCCTCCTGAGTAACTGGAACTACAGGTACGTACTACCATGCTGAGCTAACTTTTCTATTTTTATTTATTTATTTATTTATTTTTGAGACAGAGTCTTACTATGTTGCCCTCGGTAGAGTGCCGTGGCATCACAGCTCAGAGCAACCTCAAACCCTTGGGCTTAAGCGATTCGCTTGCCTCAACCTCCCAAGTAGCTGGGACTACAGGCACCTGCCACAACACCCAGCTATTTTTTTGTTGCAGTTGTCATTGTTGTTTAGCTAGCCCAGGCTGGGTTTGAACCCTCCACCCTTGGTGTATGTGGCTGGCACCATAACCACTGTGCTATGGGCGCCAAGCCTAACTTTTCTATTTTTTATAGAGATGGGATCTTGCTCTTGCTCAAACTGGTCTCAAACTCCTGGTCTCAGGCGATCCTCCTGCCTTAGCCTCTCAAAGTGCTAAGATCACAGGCATGAGCCACTGTACCTTGCCTAAAAGAATAATATTACAAAAATGAAAAGGTGGTGCTGTTAGATGGCAGGCTTCATTTTTAAATTTGGCAAAGTAAAAGCGGACATTCCTATGTTTCCTTTCCTGGTCTGTGACATCTCAAAAGTCTGTGAACTACTTATCTTGAGTAGCCCCATCATTTTACTACTAAAGAAGGTTAGGCCAGGAGTGACAGTTTTATATAGGAATTCGAAGGCTTGCGGAGGTGCTCTGAGTGTCAATGGTCGTTTTGGAAATAACAGTTGAGCCTTTACTATCAGTAAATTGCTATGTTAAATATTTTACAATTCATTATACCCACAAAACCATCTACAACATGTACTTTCTAACCTCTCTTTTGAAGCCGAGGCATATTAAATAACGTACCCAAGGTGACACAACTTATAAATGATGGAACCAGGATTTGATCTCAAGCACTCAGACCTCAAAAGGTCTAAAACCAAAAAGACATTTAGGTTTTAAATGTTCTATCTAGAACCTAAAACCTTAAGACATTACGTGCTATCTCATGCATCACTGATACAAAGTGACCTGCTTACTACCTCTGCCATGAAGCTTTCCCTAAAAATGTGGAGAAGCAGGAGTTTCTACCCAGCTTTTCATAAACATCCATCTGTCAGCACCTTATGAACTTCATTTACGACCTTTTTAAAGTTTTCTGTCATTGGTATGCTAATATCTTTAGACCGTATTCTAAGGAAAACCATCAAATTAATCTCTCTGTTGAGATACCAAAATCCAAAGGCAGCTAGCCTATCATCTTTTCATTTCAAAAGGTTCAGGGTGTTGATTGCTGCCCTCCCTTTTGCTGGTCTACACTGACATCGTTGGTGCCCCTCAAAAGAGCATTTTGCTTTGTATGGGCCTATGTAAGTACAAGATGCCACTATATCAGAGGCCAGTGTGAATATAAGCCATGCTGGAAATGGGTTATGGCCAAGGAGTAAAGAACTGTAAGGGTAAGAAGAATAATTAGCTTTTATGTTTCTCAGTACTAGAAGAACCCCACACAGAAGCTGAGAAGTTGAAAGGCAAAGTTGAGATAAGATGCCATAGGGTCACTGATAGCTAGAAATGGGTTCACTACCACCTTACACCTGAAAGGGATACAGAACCTCAAAGGTCCACACAGTCTCTACACACAAAAGTATCTTCTGTTACACTCAAACACACTCTTGAAACTATTCAATTCATTCTCAAAAAATTGTATCTTGTGTTCAAGGGATGGAGCCATAGTATCATTTCTGTTGTCTGGAAACCAACTTTAGAATTGTGTTTTTCCTATCAACCTAGCCTTTTTTTTTTTGAGACAGAGTCTTACTATGTCGCTGTTGGTAGAGTGCCGCAGCATCACAGCTCACAGCAACCTCCAACTCTTGGGCTTAAGCGAGTCTCTTGCCTCAGCCTTCCAAGTAGCTGGGACTACAGGTGCCTGCCACAACACCCGGCTATTTTTTGTTGTACTTGCCATTGTTTAGCTGGCCCTGGCTGTGGCCGGTGCTGTAACCACTGTGCTATGGGCGCTAAGCCCCTATCAGCCTAGACTTCATTTGGAATCACAAGGCTGAAAAAGGAGGATATTAATAGGCTGTTTGACAAGTGATCTGATTAGTTGCCATCCTTGCTGGATGAGTTTGTTGTGATTTTCAAGGCTATAGGAAAAGTTGAGTCTCCAACCTAATTAAGAGTCTACAGT